CCACTCTGTCTCTGGTGAAGCCTCTCACCGCCCCTGCACCTCTGGCTTGTACCCCAGTTCTGTATGCATAAATAAATAAATCTTTTTTTAAAATGCATAGCTAATAAAATAGTGATTTTTTTCACTATTTTTCTATTACTATGTACCCTAAAAATTCTAGGGTGAATAGTGCTACAATGCTAGACAAAGATAGTGACTATCAGTGATTCCATGCAGATCCTCACCCTCTCTGACATCTGAGCAACAGGCTCTCAGCTAGCAAACGCCCCAGAGCAGAGAGGGTAAAAGCCAGACGCTGGACATAAACTGTTTGGCCTCATACCTATTACTCATTAGCTGTGTGACTTGGGGAACTACTTAGCCTCTCCGTGTCTCACTTTTCTCATTTGTAAATTGGGGCTAATAGCTATCAACATCTCATGGGATAGATCTAAGAATTAAGAGTCTTTCTGCACAGAAATGCCAGTTTTAGCTGTTCGATACATTAAAATAAATGCTCCATTGTGGGCTTCTATTCTTTCACTGATAGGCAGAGCTATTAGTACAAAACAGAAGTGTCGGATGACATTACGACTGCAAACAAGAGCTGTTTATCCAAACACTTCCCAGTGCGTGAGGAATGAGCTCATTTTTGGTTTTCTTACCTCTTTAGCCAAGTAGCTGTCTGAATATTCCAGTTTTCTAAGTACATTTTGAAACTTGTGGCAGTCTGGAAAGAAGAAAATAACACCTATCATTAACTTTAAAAATACCACAAGCAAAGCAAAGTCCTCCCCAGAATTCCCCTGGTGGCAGATGTTCAATAGTGACTGTTCTGTCAGGAGCAGATCAGCTCATCGATGCTCCACGGCAAGATTCCAGTGTGGAGGGGAATTACCATCAGCCCAAACTTGGCTTTCCAAGTGCCCATGTTTCTCCAAATTTATTTTCAAATGTGCATTTAGTGTCCTGATGGAGAGAACTTGAATTTAATTATTTTTTCATGTATGGTCATCTATAAACTAGGTCATTCTTTTCATATTAGGCTACATATTAGCCTTTGCAGGCTCAAACATTTCCAATTTTAGCTAAAATAGTAAGAGATTTTATGCATGAAGAGGTCACTATAGGAAAACTGAAGAAATAGTTTGTGGGTTCTTCTCTATTCTGGTTTGAAAATTTTTTTCCAGTCATCAACATTTTAAAGCTAAATACTCTGAAATATTAGGGGGGAGTTTTCCACAGGAAAAGTTTAATCATGTGAATTTAGTGCCTTGATGGCGAGAACTTGAATCTAATTATCTTTTCATGTGTGGTCATCTATAAACTAGGTCAGTCTTGTGATATTACTCTACAAATGTTTCCAATTTGGGCTAGAATAGTAACAGATTTTATGCATGGAGAGGTCACAATTCAGAAAAGAAAACAAAGAAATACATCCAACTGCCAATGACGGAGGAAAATCAGCACAGAGAAAGAGCCATTTCAAAATCAGTCACCTCATGGGTAGGTTTCTCAAAAAAAGGACACCTGCACCCCTATATTTATTGTCGCACCATTTTCAACAGGTAAGCTATGGAAACAACCCAAATGCCCAAAGATAGATGACCGACCAAGATGTGGTATATATAAACAATGGAATACTACTTAGCAATGAAAACAGATAAACTCATCCCATACACAACAACATGGATGGAGCTGGAAGGGACCATACTCAGTGCAATAAGCCAGAAAGGGAAAAGATAGATGACTGACCAAGATGTGGTATGTATAAACAATGGAATACTACTGAGCAATGAAAACAGATAAACTCATGCCATACACAGCAACGTGGATGGAGCTGGAAGGGACCATACTCAGTGCAATAAGCCAGAAAGGGAAAAAAGAAGTATTGGATGATTTCATTTACAAGAGGAATACAAGGGAACCAAATAAGGAATGGGGGGTGGGGGGGAATAATGACAATAAAAAACACAAGACAATAACAAACAGACAACTAGAAATCAGAGACACTTTGCAGGGGAAGGGGAGGGAGATGGGGGGCAAATGAGGGTGGGAAAAGTACCAGGGGCTCTGGTGGTGGTGCAGGTGAACTGGTGGGGGGAGATCTATGGGGGCTACCCCTGAGGAAAGAAAGCAAACACTGTGTAAAAATGAAAATGTTGTAAGATCTATAGATACATAAATTATTTAAAATCCTGTCAAAAGTTGGTGTTATAAGCATGAAGCACAAGGACCAGATGTCTAATGAAGCTGCAATGCTTCACATGGAAGCATAAAAGATCTTCCGTAGGCTCTACATTTCCCTCTCCTAAATTAGTGTCATCTATTTGAGAGGCTGGAAGAGAAGGAGGGAGGGAGGGTGATGATAGATGAGCTATAGATTCATATGGATTTTGTATTGAAGTTTTTATCTCAAAACCCAAATCAGTTTTATTTCTCCACATCTGCTCAGGCTAATAAAATGCTACATGTATTCCCAGGTGCCTTAATGAAGTCAAACTTTCTTCATTTTCTTTACCTCCATGCTCTACCTCAACGTGACTGAAAGCTCAAACTCCCTCCTGGTTTTCTTTTATGATAAATACACCGCTGACGAGCTGAGCCTTTATCCTGGACACACCAGGGGAAGGATTCGTCTCTGCTGGCTAATTGAGGGGACAGGTGGGCTGGTTGAAACAGATGTGGGTGAGAGACCCGTGGGGAGGTTAACAATGGCAGCGTTTATCTTGATTTGACTTGGCTCCTGTCCCAGATGTGCTGGGCACTTCTGCCCCTTTCCTATGGGTCCCCACCAAGAGTCTCAGACTCATAGCAGGCTTTCGGGCCTCAGTGGTCCTACTTTCGGCCAATCCTGTTTGGCCAGGCATTTACCAAAAGCGGGTGGGTAACTTCAGATGCTTGATCTGGAAACTATATCCTTTGTCTTTCCTTTGTTGCACACTGCTTGTATTAAAGTTTCCTTCCATTAAAGGTCTTACTCACCAGGTCTTACTCACCAGACCTGTCTTGATGCAGCAGGTGGTAGAACCTATTTAGAGGGGGTTCTAAGGAGCCCCTCGCACTGTCCCATAACTGTAACACACTTGGGCATGCCCTGACATCAGGTCTATAGAAAAGAGAAGCTTGTGGGTAATCTCCAAGCTGTAGAAAAGGTGGTTTTGAATGCTGGGACTAAGTCTTTGAAGACGAAGAGGACGCTCAGTCAAAAAGATGGAGGACATGGCACCTTTTGGCAGTGTCCATGCACAGAGGTGCAAGAGGTCAGTCTCCATAGCCCTGGCTTCCTGCAGCACATCCCCTCTGCCCAACTTTCCCGCCCTGAAGTACTTGGAAAACCAAAGCACCAAGTGCAAACATAAGAGAACCAACATGTGAGTCTGTACCCTGAAGCTACAGGAGGAATGTGGCCAAGACTTGGGGTTCCCAAAGCTGGCGACGCCAAGAAGGATGGGGCACTAAAGGGACCATCTCTGAGGATGAAGATGTAGCGAGAACTGAGGTCCAAGATAAAGCCAGTGAAAGAGAAAAGTCACACTGATTCTGTGCACCGAGACCATTCATTCTGAAAAGTGAGTGCATGGGGCCCTCCCTGGTGGCACAGAGGGCTAAAGCATAGCACTACAAAGCTAAAGCCACTTCAGCACAAGTTCAATTCCCAGCTCCGGAGGTGACCCACATGGCATGGCAGATTCTCCTGACCCGCCTGCTGCTCCCCTCAGCAGTGTACTTCGTTGATCTGCCTGTTCTGCTCCCCACTCTGTCTCTGGTGAAGCCTCTCACCGCCCCTGCACCTCTGGCCTACACCCCAGTTCTGTATGCATAAATAAATAAATCTTAAAAAAAAAAAAGTGAATGCATGTGAAATCTTTCCAGAGGGGCCACAGAGAACACTTGAAATACTAAAAGCTAAATAAGGGGCTTCCCGTCTGTGCTCTTGACAGAAGGAAACTGTGAACAAGAGAAAATGATATCTGTACTTTCTAGTTGAAAGAACAAGAATGTCAACAACAAAAAGATTTTCCTGGCTCTTTTTCAGATTTTTTTTGTTTGTTTCGTTATTCCTTGAGCCAGGAAAACAATCAAGAAAGAATCTTTCAAAAAACAGAAAAAAAAAATCTATTTCAAGGTGCAAAATATGTATGAGCCAGCTTTTGCTCAGATCTGATGATAAACTTCTGTGGGTACCACGCAAAGCAAACCCTTCACTGCAATCACTATGCCAGCTTGATTCCAAAGCATCATTGACTCACCTCAATTTTCCAGATGTTTAGGTTAGAAAGCAGATCCCAACAGAAATTTCCATCCTTATCCACACCGCTGAACCCAAAGCCAGCTGCATTATTCACTGCATCAGCTATGGTTTTTAAAACAAAACATAATTTGGAACAAAAGTCACATTCCTGCTATCAAAGAGACTAAATGTCTGTGCACTTTCAAGATTGAGAGACAGGCTGTAGTTTCTTTGGTTAAAAAAAAAAAACAAACCCAAAAGACGTAAAGAACTTGGTACCATTATGAATTGGACACATTTTTGTCTATTTTGGCAACCTCACTTTTTTTCATTTTTTATGTGTTCACCAGCATTTAGTCAGCACCTGCTTAAGTAAGAAGGTGCAAGATGTTCACAGAATGCAAAATAAAAGTAAAAGAGACAAAAAGAATCCAAACCAAAAGCAGAAGGCTTTAGTGACTAATTGGAGAAGGGGAAGTCATAAGACCGAGAATCTCAGGAGCAGAGACCAGCAGAAAGAGGGGGTGCAGCGAGATCGAGGGGAACATTAGTTGATAGACAGCATTAAGTCAGGAAGAGGACCAGCCGCAAAGAGAAATTAGAGCTCACTCTGGACATGGCACGCAGGACATGCCAGTGGGTATCAGTTGGGCCTGCCAAGGCACAGATAGAAAAGTGGAGACCAGAACCCAAGAAAAAGAACAGAACTAGAGATGGAAACTGGGAGCAGCTGCCATGGAGGCCCCCCAGGGACATGCCTTCCACCACCCAGAAAGTCTTTCTAAAGCTCCTGTTTCCATCTTTATGTCACACATCACTGAACTGGAAGAAAATGTCATTCTGCAGCGAGTATTATATTTCTAATCAACCCCTTAATGAAAAGTTGGTGTAATCAAATAAAGAATGGATGAATCAACACTTTTTGTTGATTGGAGTCAGCATTTTCTTATGATGACTAAGAGGCAATTTTCTCTTTTCATGTCTCTGAAGTGAAATCTATTAGAATATTCTCTTGAATAATTAATCCAAAGAAGTCACAGTGCTGTAAAGTCTTCATCTTCCCCGTAGCACTTGTCATTCTTCTACAAGAGTTCACCTCAAGGTGGGTTTGGAAGGGCCCCTCTGAATATTCAGGCCCACCATTGTACAACATGGGTAGACCTTAAGGTATTATTTCAAGTGCAGTAAGTCAGACGCACCACAGGATTTCACTCATGAGTGGGATGCAAAGAAATCAAACAAACAAACAAACAAAAAACTAACTCTCAGCTTCAGGAAACAGATTAGTGGTTACCCGAAGGCAAAAGGGTTGATTGAGGGCAGGCGAAATAGGTAAGGGGGTGAGGGGATTGTCAATTCTCTGGTCATGGATGAAACCTAGACTTTGGAGTGATCATGATGAAGTTATACAGGCTGAATTATAATGCTACACATGTGACACATGTTTACAAACCAACATTAATTACTTCAATAAAAATGTTTCAAAATCTACAATAACCTGCTCTATAACTTTTACTTTTGGCATCATTGATGATTTAGTACTGCTTATCTCACACACAACTTTACTACAAAATGATCTGGTTTCTTTTAGAAGAAAGAAGGCAAGGGATTGAGTTCTGCCAGGTCACTCTCCCATGGAAATGCAAGAGAAAAGGCAGAGAAAGATGAGGTGAGAGAGTGTGCCAGCTAAGGAATGAGGAGTTTTTAATGGGAACAGATTGGTGAGTAACAGGAGAAAAACTAAAATAGGGCGATTTTAATTTATTGCCTTAAAACACAAACTTTGTGAGATCTGTTTCTGTATTGCCAATGAAAACAGTGGCTGGGGTCAGCAGGCCAGCCCTCACTTCCCTCTACCTGTCTCCAGCCTCACATCTAGCACATCTGGTTTCATCTAAAAGAACGGGACAACTATCTTTCTGAGAATCTACACAGCACGGCACGCAAGAGTGACAACGGTGTTGAAGAAATGGCTCTTTGTTCCAGTCTCCATCCCACAACAGAATAAATGCATGGCCTGACATCTAGAAACTATTCCTTTGACTATGAATGGATCCAATCATGGAACCTAATTGAAAGGAATGTTGACAGTGTACAATGAAATGTACACTTATAGCATACTGCCTGGCCCAAGTCAGCACCCCAGAAATGTCAGCCACCACCACCATTGCCACCATCATTCCATCTTGCTGTAAAAGGGCCCAAGGCTTAGTGATGTTAACAGCAAGATCCCTCAAGACAAAGTCAGACCCTAAGTACTAGAACTCTGTTTGCATGACCAGAGTGGCCAGCGTCACACCAAAGAGAGACAGAGGTCTGCAGGAGCAGTTCTCAACAAGTTGCACTTAGACAACACTGAATTCTCGATTCCCTTAGCCCCCACTGCAGTCCACCTGGCTTTGGTCTTGGAGCAGACAGAGGTTGCAAGTTCAAAATAACTGGCTTTAACATGGAATCCACCCAAAGGCCCAAAAGTAGATGACTGGATGAAAAAGATGTAGCGCATATACACGATGGAATATTATTCAGCAATCAAAAAAGATAAACTCGTGCCTTTTGCAGCAACATGGATGGAGATGGAGGGGATCATGCTTAGTGATATAAGCCAGAAAAAAAAAAAGGAAAAATAATGGATGGTTTCACTCATAGCAGGAGTATAAAGGACTGGGGGAAAAATTATAATAAAAAACAACTATATACCAGAGACATTTTACGGGGGTGGAGTGGGAAGTGGGATCAAAAATGGTTAAAAAAAAAAATGGTGATGGCACATAGGTGATTTGGTGATGGGAAGCCCACGGGATTACAACTGAGATGGAAAAAGCACAAAATGATGTAAAAATAAACTATTAAAAAAAAAACTGGCTTCAGTTGCATAGTGCCTGTCCCTTACATATTATTATAAATAAATTAATTTGAACAACATGTTATGGAGTTGGTGATCCAGACAATATGGCCTGGGTGAGTTAAGTCCCACTAATTAGTAGGGTGAAAGCAACCTAAATCGCACACCAAATCCAAAGAAAACCACGTTACTATTTCACTATAAAAAGTAACTAGAACTGGGCTAACATGGTGCAGCTCAACTGAGAGTCATTAAGGGCACAGCTTTAAGGATTAAATTTATAATCATGTATAATTAGTACATCAATTATATGTAAATGGTGTTTTAAGGAGCTAGATAAAACAATTATTCGGTTAAGCAGTTTAAATAGTCCCTGGTATACTATTCATTGCTGCTTTATTCATAAATAATACAAAGGTTAATTTCAGAACAGCCCAGGCAATCTGAACTGTAACAAACTTCAAATTGAGGTCATACAAATTAATGAAGTGTTTCTATTGAAGCTACCAAAAAAAAAAAAAAAAGACAAAGGAGGAGATGGGAGCTGATGGGGAAGAGCTAAGTTCACAGAGGAAGCTAGCCACAGAAAGGGTGACTTCCATACCCTGAATATCAGGGCTTTCCCTGAAGGGGAGCATGAGACCAGCTCCCCCATTCACTGGAACCCCCGCCCCGCCAGGGCCCACAAGCAGAACCCACCTCAGGCTGGAATTTCCCTATGGGGCTGAGTAATGGCCACCTTCCCCCTTAAATCAGGAGCTGATTTAATCCAGGAGCCAGCCCGTAAGCCCTGGGGTACAGAATGGAAGCAGGAAGGGGAGAGAAAGGGGGAGAGAAAAGGAGGAGTGAGGAAGGAGACTATTGGAAAAGGGAGAGATTTATCTCAGCCTCTCTCTCTCTCTCACATACTTACACACAGACACACACATATCATCTCAGTGTTACAATCCCTGGGCCCGTTTTCCTGGCTGGTGTTCACAGGTGTCTGACAGTCTCACAATCTCTGGGGCACAGGAATGTCTTACCTCTGAACTCCTCTTAAGAAGCTGGTACTCTACAAAAACTCCTTGAACTAAACTGATGTGGCCAGAAATTGCCTGCTGCAAATTTTAGGGAAGTTCTAATTCCAGTGTCTCTGACCAAGTGTTCTACAAATACTAACTACTGAATATTTTCATCCCTAAAAAGAATGTGGGCCAGGTGCTGGGGGATGGCAGAGTGGAGACTTTTCAGACAGCTGAATAGGAACAAAGTGTCTGTTTGGCCTGATGGGGAAGGCGGGTATTGATCTCACGCTATAAATGAACTTAGTATCATCCGATTGTTTACCTAACAATGGTTAAAACGATGAAAGTGCTATATATTTTACCACCGTAATAAAAAGTGAAAAAAAAAATAGCAGCTGCAAATATGGGGTTAAAAGTTGGAGCAGGGGACCCTCCCTGATGGCTCAGCGGGTTAAAGCACAGCACTGAGAAGCTAAAGCCACTTCCGCATGAGTTCGATCCCCGCCTGCCCCGGAGGCGACCACACGGTGTGGCAGACCTCTCCTGACCCGCCCACTGCTCCCCTCAGCAGTGTACTTCGTTGATCTGACTGTTCTGCTCCCCACTCTGTCTCTGGTGAATCCTCTCACCCTCCACATCTCTGCCCTGTACCCCAGTTCTGTACGAATAAATAAATAAATCTAAAAAAAAAAAAGTTGGAGCAGGGATAGGGAGAAGTCAATTCATTATTATTCGCGGTCTGGGCTAAGTACTAGGAGCTGAGGGGCCAGCCATATGATTTAATAAGCCAAGTCACTGCTCTGACATCAAATCCTAGACACTTTCAGCAAAGATGTTAAACCTCTATACTGGAAGGGTTTCAAAAGTGAAACAGAGCGGCCTGTCGAACCTTATCAAAATCCTTTACTGTTTATTGCTCATTTTAGCAAAGCTTTTAACTTCTCCAGTCTGAAACTGTTTGAAAGGAAAGAGATAAAAGCTTAATACTCACTAAGTGACATCACAGGGGTAAAAATGTGATAAAACCAAGTCAAATTACCTCAAAAAGAAAATAAATCACTTGAAGTCAGTTTCCTGATGCACAAAGCTAAACCACCACCTTCTTAAGAGAAAAATTGTAACCTGAATTAGTATGCACCTTGGGAAAATCAATCCACTGTGTATCTTGTATTATGTAAGACCCAGAAAAAGTGCAAGAAAGGCAGATCACCCTAGAATTTTCCCCTAACTCTGGTGGAAGCAGTTGTGGATACCATTGGATTTGCACCCAGATAGGACTGCTTTTCTCTTTAGGGAAAATAACTGAGTTTATGAACAACAAAGGAGAAACACTACTTTGAAAAGATTAAAAAAAAAAATGACCCTGGCTTCACTGCCTGTCTGTATGGATTAGGCTTTTTTTTTTCCCCTTAATTAGCTTATCCAAATTGTTCTGGCTCAGCCACCCAGAGAACATGATCTTTTTCCTCCCTGTCTTTCACAGCAGGCTACACCATAGAACTTACCTAATGTCCAGGCAAAGTAATACTTGGGCTTTGAGGCTTGCATGACCACGTACAAGTAGCAGAGGCGAGTCAGGAAGTTTGCTTCATGGACAAAATAATCATCCACCAGACAGGTGACAGGGAAGGTCTTCGTGAGCGTCAGGAACAGAAGAAGGGACAGCAAGGTCATGCACAGCTTGGATACCACAGCTCCCTGAGGGCAGAAATCAGTGGCAAATTACAAAGATTCTGTGCAAGGAAAACAACTTTGGCAGATTAAAAACAAGGCTGCTTTCGTGATGTGCCCTGGGAAGGGCGACAACAGACATGTGTTCTCATGACACAATGGGATAATGGGCATGTGTATGATATTTCTTTTCTTTTCTTTTTTTTTTTTAAAGATTTATTTATATATACAGAACTGGGGTAAGGCCAGAGAGGTGCAGGGGCAGCGAGAGGATTCGCCAGAGACAGAGTGGGGAGCAGAACAGGCTGACTGACTGACGAAGTACACTGCTGAGGGGAGCAGCGAGCGGGTCAGGACAGGTCTGCTGTGCCATGTGGGTCACCTCCCTGGCTGGAGATCGAACTCATGCTGAAGTGACTTTAGCTTGTTAGTGCTGTGGTTTAACCCACTGCGCCAAGAGGTGGGGCCCGTATGTGATATTTCAATGCTGAAAGACCTCTCCCATATGAGGACTGAATGAATGTCCTTATAAAATGGATATTTTTTAAATATTTATTCATTTGTGCATACAGAACTGGGGTGCAGGCCAGAGGTGCAGGAGCGGTGAGAGGATTCACCAGAGACAGAGTGGGGAGCAGAACAGGCAAATTGATGAAGTGCACTGCTGAGGGGAGCAACGGGTGGGTCAGGAGAGGTCTGCTGCACCACGTGGGTCATCTCCGGGGCCAGGGATCGAACATGCCCTGAAATGGCTGCAGCCAACTTGCAGTGCTGAGTCCTAATCTACAGCGCCACCAGGGAGGGCCTGGGAGAAACTCTTACCAGAAAATTCTACCAATAAAAGGACAGGGGCTTGTATATCCTGAGCATTGGAGAAGCAGGTGTCTATAGCCAGAAAGAACTGGAAGAGCTGGAGGAGGCTCGTGGAGCAGAAACATGTGAAGAAGTCACACTTGCGACTGGGCTTGGACTTGTATCAGGGGCCTAAGGGACATGGAGGGAGTCACTTGAAATTTCGAGACAGAAGTAGGTGAGTGACCCGTGGGGGGGCTGACCAAGGCAGCCTTTATCTTGGATGTTGATTTTGCTCCCTTCCTTCCAAACTAGCCTGGCCCCTTTGCTCATTTGTTACAGGTCCCCACCAGGAGGTGCCTTCATCTGTGACAGGCTTTCAGGCCTCAGAGGCCCCACTTCGGTTGGGCATGGGTGACTTTGTGTGCTTCATTTGGAAACTGTATTTTTTTCTTTTCTCTCTGCTGCACAGTATTTGTCTGTCTACCGCATACTAATTCTAGTAATGTTCTTTTCTATTTGATGGTCTTATGCACGTTGTTTTTATGCAGCAGATGGCAGAACCCATTTAGAGTGTGCAGGTTTGGGGGTCTCTGGTTGCCCCTCATTCTACCTACTAGCAGATTATAGAACTGAGGCATAAAGCAGGGGTGGGGGGAGGCCAGTGTCAAAACAGAAGAGGGAAGAGCAGCAGGGACTATCGTGATGGATCATGGGTGATGTGGTGGTGGGAGAACTGTATCTATGGGGCCTGTATCTAAGGAGCAAAACCAAATAATGCACAAAAAATGAACAACCATGAGGGCCTCCCTGATGGTGCAGAATTAGTCTCAGTGCAGTCAGGCTATCACCAGCCACTGCAGCACGAGTTCAATTCCCAGCTGAGGAGGTGACCCACATGGCGCAGCAGACCTCTCCTGTCTCGCCTGCTGCTCCCCCTAGCAGTGTATTTCAGTCAGCTGCCTGTTCTGCTCCCCGCTCTGTCTCTGGTGGGTCCTCTCACCCCCGCCACACACACTTCTGGCCTACACCCCAGCTCCTGTATGCACAAAGAAATAAAATAAATCTTCGAAGTAATTTTTTTAAATAATAAACAAGGGGAAAAGGTTTAGTTATACAGGATTCTGTCTGTAGGGTAATGCTATGCTTGAGCTAGCACAGGTGGGTAGTGACAGCTGCAGAAAGGCCCAGAGGCCCAGTGCGTGTAGATTGCCCCAGGGTGACACTGTGTGGACACTCCCCTGGATGGAGCAAGTTCAACCAGTTCCCTGACACCCCCAACAATGTCATTTCACAGTGACAGAACTGAAGTTCCCACCTTGATGACACAAGAGTTTTATCTCCCACAAAGCGAATGAATATTATCACATCCAAGAGCACTGCTGGACTCTCAGTTAAGTGCTCACTGTGCTCACCAAAATTATGATACTTGCGCTGAAGAGACGCCACCCAAGGGTGCTAGTCCCTTCCCATCGACATGTCTACGGGCAAAATGCCACCTTGCCACTCACTTTCTCTGTGCACACAGGGTGAGTCCTCTGAAGTCTCGACTCTCTGGTGTCACTTTCTAAGTAAAAGCACTTGAAGCACAGAAGGAGCATGGTGACGGTGACTCCAGAAACATCTGTGGTTACCAAGGTGCCTCCCAGCCAAGGTGACATGACTCCCACAGTTTCAATAAAACAGCCAGAGCTGAGACACCTGACTGCCACATTGTCAGGACACAAGTAAGTCCATACTCTCTGAAGATGTGTCCATAAATCCCTTAAACTTTCAAATGCTTGACTCTCCACAGATCTCAGCTACCATTTATGAAATCTTTAACTGACATATTCTCAGTGTCTGCTTTTTCCCATTTCCCCCTTTTTCTCAATTAACTACAAAGTTCCCTTCCAAATAACTCATTCAGCCTGGATAAACTTAGCCCATTTGTAAAGTTCCATAAGTTGTCTTACTGTTGATATATCTGAGATTGGTAAAGTTCAGATTAATATTAAAATGCTGTTTCAAAGTCCATGGGGATTACAACCAAGATGAAAAAACGGACAAAATGAAGAATGACGTTTAAAAAAAAGTGTATGTGTGTATATAAAATATATGTATATATATGTGTATATTATTATGTATATATATACATGTGTATATTATTATATATGTATCTATGTATATTATTATATACACACATATGTGTGTGTGTGTGTGTGTGTATGTTAAAAAAACAACAACAAAGAGCCACCTGAACCTCCAAGCCAATAAAACAAGCTATGGACATGCCAGTGCCAAACCATTCTCCCTTGTGATGGTGAGCTTTACAGTAAAATGCACCTTTATTCTGGTCTTCACTCCCTCCCCCTCCCCTTTCTTGAGAGATTTCTCTGGCTATCTACGAATCTCCATTCTTAAAGACAGAACCCTGATAACTTGGAATCGTTAAGTTGCTCAGTGCCAAGCACATGGTGGGCACTAAATACTGGCTGTCTGACTAATGGGCTAATATTAATTAGTATGCATTGATTAATGGATTCATGTTAATTAATATGAATGGATTAAAATTCCCAGCCACGGAGCTCCTCTGTGCAATATATACACAGACAAGGTAGCAAATAAATGCCAAAGAAATGGGGAACAAAAGTTGGCCAACCTTTCTGGGGAAATACTATATCTTTTTATTATTATTTTTATTATAATAGTCTATTTTTACATCACTTTGTGCCTTTTTCCATCTCAGTTGTAATCCCTGTGGGCTTCCCATCACCAAATCACCAGTGTGCCATCACCATAATACCGCACTTCCCTGGCCCCCACTTTTGATTCCATTCCCCACTCCACCCCCGTAAAATGTCTCTGGTATATAATTGTTCATTACTATTATTTTTCCCCCTTGGTCCTTTATGTTCCTGTTATTAGTGAAACTATTTGGTATTTTTCCTTTACTTTCTGGCTTATTTCACTAAGCTTGATCCCTTCCAGCTCCATCCATGTTGCTGCAAAAGGCATGAATTTATCTTTTTTGATTGCTGAGTAATATTCCTTTGTGTATATGTACCATATCTTATTAATCCAGTCAGTTACTTTTGGGCATTTGGGTTGATTTCATGTCTTTCCTATTGTAAATAAGGCAGCAGTAAACAGGTGTCTTTTTGAATCAGAAACAGTATATCTTTTTAATTAGAACTATATCAGTGACTATCTGCTTGGGCAACACAACCCTGCTTTCTGGATCTCTGGGTAAATGCATGGCCCTGGAAACTCACCGTGGGAGAAGGCTCTGGCAGGCTGTGGACACCTTTATGCTTTGAGTTCACTTCCAGCAACTTCTCGTGCGTGTGTCTCCCCTCAATGAAGGCAATGTAGTCATTGAAATTGTTACAAGGGCCAGCAATGACACTCATGAAGTTGAGAAGGTAGCTTAAGTATTCCAAAAAAGAAGGTTTCGCTCTGTGAACATAAACAAGAAGTTCGGTCTTTGATTTTTTTCTATTTGCAAAGAAGTCCATGGAAACACAGGTGTTGTCTTTGTAGATTACTAACAGTATGATTCTCCTTTTTGCTCGTTCTTTAAAAAATCAACTTGAGAGAGGGTAAACTAGACAAAGTTCATTAAAAAGGAAACTTTAAGGTGAGGGGGCGGTGGTGAGGCTCAGAGAACGCAGCATGCTCCGTGGCGCCCTCTGCCGGCAAAACATAGCTATGGACAGACTGTGGGGTCCAAGACAAAGGCAAGTCTGAGACAAGGACATGCTTTTTCATCAGCCTTGCATGTGTCCAAGAGAAAATAAAGGTAATAAAGCAAGGCAGGGTGGGAACCTGACCTAATGTGAGTTGGTCGAGAGGCTTTGAAATGGGAAAACTCCTACAAGACTGCCAAAATAAATACCAAACAAATGATGGGTGGGACCAGTTTCCACAACTGCTGCTGTAATGGTGCCGGTCTGCTTTGGCCTCCAGGCTTAAGGTCCTGGACAGAGAGGGCTCGTGGCAGGAAAAGTCCTGTGGGAACCAGTTCTGTGTTGTGGGTTGTTTTTTTTAAAGATTTATTTATTTGTGCATACAGAGCTGGGGTACAGGCCAGAGGCTCAGGGGTGTCAAGAGGTTTCACCAGAGACAGAGTGGGGAGCAGAACAGGCAGAGCGACGAAGTACACTGCTGAGGGGAGCAGCGGGCGGGTCAGGAGAGGTCTGCCGCGCCATGTGGTCACCTCTGGGGCAGGCGGGAATCGAACTCATGCGGAAGTGGCTTTAGCTTCTCAGTGCTGCGCTGTAGCCCTCTGTGTTGTGTTTTAAGGAGGAGACACGTGTGCCCTTTTAGCAGGACAGAACTCAGGAAAAGTTCTGCCATCTCTAGCCAATCACTATAATACACCCTTGAAGCATCTATACCCCCAAAATGCCTGGCACAGAACTGAATGCATGAGGCCTTCCAGTGGCCTTAACAGAGGAATGAAGTCCCTTTATCACCTGGGCACCTCCTCACCCCAGCTATCTCCAATACGCCCCACCTGGCTGCATGTCTCACTGGTGTTACCCTACCTGTCATTTACATTCCCACACTGCTCATCGCCTTCCTTTCTCTCCAGCACCAGACAACTTCTACATGTCAACACTGGCTAAAGTCCACCTCCAGCCTCCTTCCTCCTCCCTCTTCCGCCCCTGCGCTTGTATCTCTCTTCAGGCTGAATTCCTATATTTTATCATTTAGCATTTAATCATAACTAGATTGATAATTAACTGCTTCTTGTGGACCTCCAGATACATGCCCAATAAAAACACTTCCTGAAATGCACTTCACAGTGAAGGAGATTGCAAAACTGATAAAATCACAGAGACATTTCCTCTGGCCTAACAATCCCACTGCTGGGAATCTGTCCTACAACCATATACACAAGCTCATTTAAAATAACCGATAGGCGAGGTTACTCTTCCCTCACCAGCTGTAAATGCCAAAGGTTGGCAGACAGTGCAGGTAGCCATCAATAGCAGGACTGTCATAGAAATGTCCATATATAATGGGGTGGAGCTATAAACAAATGAGGATGATCTGATACTGATATACAAAGGTCTCAAGAACATGTGCGTAACTTACTTTATAGCAAGTCGATGCTGCTCAGCGGAGAGGTCTTCAGCTCTTCGACCTAATCCTATGAGAGAGGAAAAAATTAGAAATAAGATCTTTAAAGTGAAGTTAATGGCGACTTTTTAAAGAGCCTTTATCAGGCCGTACCTGGTGGCGCAACGGGTTGGGACACAGTATTGCAAGCTGGCTACAGCCACTTCAGTGTGAGTTCAATACCCAGCCCCAGAGGTGACCCACATGGCTCAGCAAACCTCTCCTGACCTGTCCACTGCTCCCCTCAGCAGTGTGCTTCATGAATCTGCTGTTCTGCTCCCCACTCTGTCTCTGCTGAATCCTCTCACCGTCCCTGCACCTCTGGCCTGTACCCCAGTTCTGTATGTCTGTATGTGTAAATAAATGTTTGGAGGGGAAAAAAAAAGAGCCTTTATCAAAAGCTTTTAAAAATAAAGGTAATTTATTTTTGCTTCATAAATCGTAACAGATCCCTATTTTTTAAAATCCCTGTAATCAAAGAGTGACCCATCACAAGTGTATCAATGAGGACAGTACCTATAGGTAATTGTGAGAATTCAGGCTCCAACTTAAACTGCCCAGGAGCACATGGATTCCAGAAAACTCTCTACCACTCTATTCTTGAACATTATAAGCTGATTCTTGACAATGATTGGGTTAGAGGTGCTGACCCCCACAGAACTGAAAATCTGAACACAGGGCTTCTTTGGTGGCCTAGGGTTTAAGTCTCAGTGTTAACACCAGTAAAAAGCTGAGCTCCATCCCTAGCCAGGGAACTGACCCACATGGCTCAGCAGACCTCTCCTGTCCCACTTGCTGCTCCCCTCAGCAGTGTATTTCGGTCAATCTGCCTATTCTGCTCCTCATTCTGTGTGAATCCTCTTACTCCTCACACCTCTGGCCTACACCCCAGTTCTTCAGTTCTTCTATGCAAAATAAATTTTAAAAACAGAAAACCTGAATGTAACTTGACTCCCAAAATCTTAACTACAGCCATCACTGTGCATCATTGGGGACTGGTTTCAGGGCCCCATGAATGCAGAACTGAATGCAGAAACACTTCACATAGGCACGGACCCAAGCAGTTCAAACTCCCTGAACGCAGGGAGAATACAAAGGACTTATAGAATATTTTTCTTCTGTGTTAACATATAGTCCTTTCATCAGTAACAGTTTCTAAAACAACTTTCACTAAGGCTGATCATGGTGACCAATCAAAAGCAACTCAGAGAGAAGGCGAGTGTTTCTGGAATTGACTTGTTCTCCCACATGCAAGACATAAGAAGAAAAAAACTTGTTCCAGAAAGTGGGGTAAACTGAGAATGCTTTAAAAGGCAAATTGAGTCCCAAATAGTTAGTGTTAAGGGATTCAAAAAAAAAAAATCTCTTTTCCCCCTGTGATCTAATCAAATAGTACATATTTGGCAATCCTAAAATTTAAATTGATTTAAGATACTACTTTCTAACCTCTACTATAAGTGGATGTTCACATACAAATAGTGTGACTGGTTCACCCCAGCTTGCCCTAGAATTTTCCTGGTTCAGTCACTGAAAATCTTTCCTCACCTCTCAGTTCTGGGCAAACTAGTTAGTCCCTATTTAGAAAGTCTCCATCCTTGGTATAAAATTACTCCGTTCTCTACAGAATGACTAAATCATCAAGTATGAACTAGCAATACCCAGGGTCAAGATGAAATTAAATCAGCTCCCAAGCTTTAAGGAAAAACAAGAAAGCTAGCTGGTGGAGACTGTAAATCTTCCCAACATTGTCAACACATAAAGAAGTGTTCAACTATCCAGCCACATTTGCCGAAAGAGCACAAATCCACAGAATATACTTTTACTATTTACACCTGGCATTGCTGAAGCCTACACTAAAATCTTCCACCCGGCCGAAAGTTCCATCATCCTTCCCCAGCACCTCACTTTACAAATGGAAATCAATATGTGCAAAACTGGTGGTGGGAAGTCCATGGGGATTATAACCAAGATGAAAAAACTGTAAAAAATGAAGAATGATGTAAAAAAGATACATTTAAAAAAAAGCAAAACAAAACAAGTAGAAATCAGAGTTTTGGGTCATTTGCAGGAAGAAAATGTTCAGTTTTATACCAACAAAAGATTCTTCCTTTCCCAGCTTTTTATAGTCAGGCTTATCTCATTAGGTAATTTTCCAAATCTAAACAAAAAATTTTTGAACGAATTCAGCACTAAAAATGGTTAACCAGCCAATGCTGTTTAATCGTTTGTCACTTCCTAAGTGTCTCTGAGATTAAATAAATCCAAGCAAAAGAGGTTGCTATTTCTTCTTGACAGATCTGGAAATGAAGGACAGAGAATTCGAAAACTTCACTGAAACTTAAGACACAGAAAGCCCACTGTTCTCAGTGCAAATATCTCAGCAAGTTTAGACAACAGATTCCAAAGGGAATGATAACTAACAGAGGGGAAGGTAAAAGGCTATGTGATTAGAAACGTCTGGAAATTTTGCACAAAGCAAGATATGCCAATATGGCATAAGCTCTGGTCTATGTAGGTGGTAGAGATGCAGAGCTCTGAACGTAAATTTCACTCAAGAACCAAAAGGAGGATGTTTCTCACCATCGTGAACTTGGAAAGCCAAGGTTGTGATCTTCTGAGTGACAATCATCAGAGGCCTAAAAGAAAGAAAATCATCAAAATTGGTCGAAGTGACAACGGAAGGCACTTTTAATCTTTTTCTCTGTGTGGTGGCTTTTCATTCTGGAGATTACTGAGTAAAGTACAAAAACACTGATGTCAAGAGAAACCATTTTTATTTCTCTTCCAAGTCACTGTAAATGAGCAGGTGGAACCCCACTAAACAAGATTATGCTGGAAAGTCCCTCTCAGCTTGCAAGTTCCAGTTCTGGCACCGTCAGCATGGTCTGAAGCTCGTCAGGAATGCAGAAGCTCAGACTCCATTCCAGACCAGAAAGTGAGAATCTGCATTTTAACAAACACTCCAGAGAATTTAAATGTTTATTAAAATTAAAATGCCCTGGTTCAGGAGATGAGATTCCCTATTCCAAGTGTCCTGGAATTTATATTTTGGCTTGTTCTACAAGCATATATAGCATTACCCTCTAAATACAAATTTAGCATACTCTAATATGCTTTATTCTATTAAAGCCTTTCTCTCCACGCACATGTAGTAAAAGATATATTTTCAAATGCAATTGCCTGTAAATAAACTATTCAGTGACAAAAAACAACAACAACAACAACAACAAAACACCTTAATTTCAAAAAATCACGATAGGAAAACTTGCCTACAAAGTAGTACCTCATACAACAAAGGTATGAGATCATTTAACGGTTGTGAAATAGTCTTTCAGCAAATAGTGATGGTATAACCAAATGTCCACATTCAAGAATAGAAAAAGTAATTCAAGATATATTGAAGACATAAATGTAAGAACTAAAACTAAAGAACACTTAAATACTTATGACTTTATATTTACTGATGGCATCTTAGATTTAACACCAAAAGTACAAGTAACAACAAAAAAAAAGTGGATTTAGTGGATATTATTAAAGCTTACAGCTTTGGTACTTCAAAGAACAAAAATGTAAAAGGATTTTATACAGAATATGTGAAAATATATGCAAATCATGTCTGACAAAATATTTGTACAGTACTAAAGAACTCACCCAGTTCATTAATAAAAAGACAAATAACCAAATTTGAAAATGGCCAAATAATCTGGATGGTCAATTTTCTGAAATTGATACATAAATGACAGACATACACATGAAAAGATGCTCAACAGTCTGCAAAGAAATGCAAATCTAAACCACAATGGATCCCACTCACAGCACTAGGCTGGTTAGAATCAAAAAGACAGTAAAAACAAATATCACGAGGAGGTAGAAAAATTGGAAACTTCATACATTGCTGGTAGAAATATTAAATGATAAAGTGCTTTAGAAACAGTCTGGTAGTTTAATCACAAGGCCACCCTATGGCCAAGCAATACCATGCCTAGAATTCACTAGTAAGAAGTAGAAATGCAAAAACATGTTCAGAACAACATTATTTATAACAACATATTCAGAACAACATTATTTATAATAGCTCAGAAGGAAATAACCCAAATGCCTATCAACTGTGGAATGGGTAAAGAAATGTGGTTATACATCTATAAGCCAGAGACATTCTATAGGGGTGGAGATGGGAAAACAGATCAAAACTGAGGTGGGAAGAGCACATGGGTCTATGGTGATGGCACACGGGTGAAGTGGTTGTGGGAAGCCCACGGGGATTACAACCAAGATGAAAAAATGCACAAAGTGAAGAATGATGTAAAGAACACATAGAAAGTAAAAAAATAAATGTACTATATTCATACAGTAGAGTACTATTCAGCCATTTCAATAAAAGTTAGCTACTGACAGATACATGCCTGCTGTAACATGGATGGACCTTGTTATGGAATATTATGGAAGTAAAATAACGCAAACACAAAAGATCACATATTATACGATTCCATTTTCGTGAAATGTCCAGAACAGGGAGCTCATAGAGAAATAAAGTAGGCTGCTGGCTACCTGGGGAAGTTGAGAGGAGATAAGAAAGGGTGGCTAACACATGCAGGTTCTTTTGTGGGTGAAGAAAATGTAGTCAAATGAATTGTGGTGATGCATACAAGATAATCAGCTCCACAAATATGCAAAAATCAGTGAATTGTACACTCTAAGTGGGTAATTATGTGTGATGTCTGATTGTCTCAAGAAAGCCACAATTTTCATAAATGGCACCTGTTTTTCCAACGTACTGCCTTTAATAGCTCTACCGTGGCCCAACATGGACAACATAAACGTTCTATCCTTTCCTCTAACAACCCTTCTCATCTGATCTTCTGATCTCCATCCTGCTGGCTTCTTACTGAATTTGCTCTCAGTTCTCTATGGACTGCTGGCTTATTTACACAGAAGACCAAGATTTTTGACCCATGTCAATGACAGGGTCATCCTGGGATGACCCCAGCATAGTGCCCAGGCCCAGGTATGTGTGACGCAGCAATGACAGGGTCATCCTGGGATGACCCCAGCATAGTGCCCAGTGACGCAGACCAAGTCAAGACGCAAGTCAAGTCCAAAGTGGGTCGATGGCTCTCAGTCACTTCTCTTACATTCTTATTTCCATTCCTGATTTTTTCCTCTTTCATATAATGAACATGCAATATTTTCATCTGTATCAATCAATAAGATAAACTTCTAAAACACCCCTGAAATCTGAACACCTACGTCCAACTTCTATCTTTTTTGCAAAAGCCCAAAGGCTAATATGTCCAGAGGCCAAGAGAAGGGGAAGTAAGTGTGATTGTGAAGGGAAAGGGAAGCTGTTGCAAAACCTGGTGAGAAGTAGGCGTGGCCAACAAGGGACTGGGCCAGGAGCCACACACAAGCTCACAGTAAACGCCAGCTTTGTTAGAGAGGGAGAGAAAGCAGTGGTAGAGAACGGAGGGGGGAGGAGGGAGGGAGGACTCTTCCCAAACACTGAGTTTTGAGACCTAGGACTATGGTCTATATTTTTAAACTTTATTTTATAGATACAGACACACACACATACATACATACATATGTGTGTGTATGTATATATAGATTTTTTACACTGTTCTTCCTTTTTGTACAACATATGCTCTCCCCTCTCAGGTGTAGTCCCACAAAATTCCCATCACCAATTCACCCATGTACCCTCAGCATAGTCCCTTGTGTAATAACACATTCCCTCCCTTGTTTTGATCCCTCTCCTCCCAAACCCCACAGTGCCTCTGAATTAATAGCTGCCTGCTAATTTTGTTTTGTTCCTTATTTGGTTGTCCTACATTTCTCCTCTAAGTGAAACAATCCGATATTTTCCCTTTTCCTTCCGGCTTATTTCACTGAGCATGATCCCTTCCAGCATTATCCATGTTGCTGTGAATGGCGTGAATTTATCTTTTTGACTGCTGAGTAGTATTCCATTGTGTGATTGTGAAGGGAAAAGGAAGCTGTTGCAAAACCTGGTGAGAAGTAGGCGTGGCGAACAAGGGACTGGGCCAGAAGCCACACACAAGCTCACCACATCTTCCTGATCCAGTCATCTACTTTGAGGCATTTGCTTTGTTACACATTAAAACTTTGTCTTACAGAGCATATAACTCTGCAGTTTACCTTCCTGATATTCAACAGGCCTCAGACCCAGAATGTATAACAGATTCTGAGAGAGGTTTTTCTTAAAGGAACACACTTTAAGCATCTTGTTCAAGGTAGTTTCCAAATACAACTTTCAAAGCACAACTGTTTTCTTTCCAAGCTCTTGTCTTTTTTCTCCTGCTGTAGTACTGAAAACCCACACATTCATAACAGTACCTAAGCCCAGTCTTGCTTACACAAAGCCCAGTACATTTTTTAAAAATAATATGATAGTTTATTTTTACATCATTTTGTGCCTTTTTCCATCTCAGCTGTCATCCCCGTGGGTTTCCCATCACCACATCACCCGTGTGCCATCACCATGGTCCAGTGTACTTACCCATCTCCCATTTTTTATCCCACTCCCTCTCCACCCTAGTAAAATGTCTCACCCAGCACATTTTTTTTAAAGATTTATTTATTTATTCATACAGAACTGGGGTACAGGCCAGAGATGCGGAAGATAAGGTGAGAGGATTCACTAGGGACAGAGTGGGGAGCAGAACAGGCAGATCGAGGAAATACACTGCTGAGGGGAGCAGCGGGCGGGTCAGGAGAGGTCTGCCGCGCCATGTGGATCTCCTCCCAGGCAGGCGGGAATCGAACTCATGCGGAAGTGGCTTAAGCTTCTTATTTCAGTGCTTTAACCCGCTGCGCCACCAGGGAGGGCCACCCAGCACATTTTTAAGCACACATTCTGGTGACTATGCAATCTACAAACCAAGTAAATTCCTACATCCAAGTTAACTCATAACTTCATTTGAAAAAGGCTAAAAATAGATCCCTCATCAAAGAAATAAAATGTGTCATGGATCTAGTCTACAACTGTCTCTGTAGAAATTTAGCATCTGACTTCTTCTATCTGGGGTTAGTTGTTGTTTTTTTTTTATAGGTTATTTTTACATCATTTTGTATACCTGGGGTTAGTTTTAATGTATTCCATGATTAACATAGGTCCACCAAAATTCTAATAGTTGCATCGGAGGAACCATGACAACACACCACTCAGATCAACAGCTGGAGGAGCATAACATCAGGTGCCTCTGATGCCACCTCCACACCGATGCTGAGGCCTCACCTACCTGGGATAACTCCCAGCCAAAGACCAATAGCAGCAGGCAACCCAGGCAGGCTCCTCCCTAATGGGTGGAGCCTTCTGCTTCAGGAATTTTAACTCTCATTGAACTATCATAGCTTTATTTACTGCATGGTAGGCCACGATCTCTCTTCTTTTTGACCTTCTCTTATCTCGGGGGTCAGACAGGCCTTTCAACGTGATGTCTCTCTAGACCAATTCAGTAGCCTCTCCATCTCTCCACTTTCCGTCACAGGCATTTCACTCCACAAACCTTACACATCTGTTCTCTTCTAGGCATCTGCTTCCCTGCCAGACTAATACAAGACAGTATGCAGACGGCCTACATTAATGTCAACAAATGATAATTATTCACTATGCAAT